TGTATTCCTTAAATTATGCTGAAGGGAGTTTTTCATGTTAATCAATTTAGCTTGTGGTTGTTGGGAAAAGGACAAGTCTGAGATTAAAAAAAAAAGTATGCATATACGTGTACAGCTTTCAGCTTTTTTTCTTTCTTTTTTAAAGGCACGGATTAAAAGCTTAGATTAAATTTCTACTGTATAACTGTCACTGATGTAAGATTCTAATCACCAGTACTGATTGAGAATTCTTAAGTATATTAATAGTCTGTTTTCATTTTTGTTTTGATTTTCTTTCTAATTGGTTTCAGAAAGACTTCTAGGGAGTGTTTACTTTATTAAATTTTAAATTGCCTTAACTAGCATTCTTAGTATCTACCACCCAATGAATGTGTATGTATGTGTGTCTTTCATTTGCACAAAATAACAGACTCCTACACTCATGAGTTATTGGTCCCTTTAAAAACTGGAGTTGACACAAATCATTCCTGTTGATATGTGCTGACTTACCTTTAGAACAATTGTTAGTTATTAAGCAAAAGTCATAAGGGTCATAAGAAACAAGCGTCAAAAAATGTAGGAGAGATTTCTTTAAGACGTTAACAATGTTGTGAAATAAAGGTGAGTTCAGCTCAACTCATGTATTGAAGGCATCCTTAACATGGATTGAGTCTGGTACAAAAGCAAATATGATATGGTCTTGTTTTTTTGGAGCCTGCAGTCTAGTAAGAAAGAGATACAAATATAATTTCTGTGTAATGTGTAGAAATATGTACAGGATCCCTTTTATAGTCCCATGTCTTCATGTCTAATCAAGAAAATGAAATTGTAAAATTCCTAACATGTTTGCAATAATTGAGAGGATATTTAAAGAACTAGGAGAGAAAGCTTGAATTAGTGACAGAGTATTGAACATTGAGAAAAAAAAAATTTTTAAGACAGTTATTATCCCAGGATAAACAGAATAGGCCCCACTGACATTTAAGTTGAGGGCAGAAGACAGTAGCCTGTGAAGAAGATTTTGAAGGAATGGTCAGAGATTGAGAAGACTGAAGCATCAGAAATGCCAGGTCTATCAGGTGGTTCCAAGTAACAGATCATATGAGTTTATAAGAACAAAGCTCGGAAACAGGTCAGTTCCAGAGTTGGTCAGTAGCTCAGTGATGTCACCAAGGCTGCTTTTTCTGTCTGTCCACATTGCTGTCTTGACCATGGCCTTTTCCATCAGGCTTGTCCCTTTATGGTCAACAGTTGATTTAAGCAGCCCAAGCACCACATCCTCATTCAGCTGCATGCAGAAGCAGGAGAGAGGAAGCATTTCTCTTCTGTTTCCTCTTATCAGGGAAGGAAAGCTTTCCCAGAAAACCCCAGCAGAATTCTTCATCGGTGCCTTTGACAGGATTAGATTACTTGACCCTGCCCCAGCTGTGGGAAGGCTGGTAAAGCAAGTTATCAGCTGTTTTCAGCCTCCATACAGGGAGGTGGGCTCTTCTGAGAAAGAATAGGGGAGTAGATGTGGCTGTTGATTAGTCTGTGACACAAAGGATGAAGAAATGAGAATCTTTTCTGGAGTATATCCCTGTATTGTATAATGATATAATATCTTTCAGGGAAGGAGTATTTTTAATATTACTGTACTCATGATTCTTTTGCTGTTGCAAGGAAATTAGTAGGTAGATTTTTTTCACAAACAATAGGACACTTAATATAAAAGTGTTGTGGGCTTCCCTGGTGGCGCAGTGGTTGAGAGGCCGCCTGCTGATGCAGGGGACACGGGTTCGTGCCCCGGTCCGGGAAGATCCCACATGCCGCGGAGCCTGCGTGTCCGGAGTCTGTGCTCCGTGAGGGGAGAGGCCACAGCAGTGAGAGGCCCGCATACCGCAAAAAAAAAAAAAAAAAAAGTATTGTTGTATATGAGTTGCCTCAAATTACACCAAAATTAGTAGCTATAGCTGTTCAATTTGAAAACACAGCTCTGAACTGAGTTTCAGAGAATTAAATGTGGAAATTTAATTTTAATCTTCACAGGAAAGTGACATTCTGTATATTATGTATATTCAGATATATTTATGCTTTGAATAAATTTTATGTATCTCATTTGATATCTCATACTAATCAAAATAGTAAGTACATTTAAAATTTTTACCCTGGAAACTAAGGGTAAACTAAAAGCCAGAGCAATAGTTGTGTGAGCAGATACAGTGGCATTTGAAAAGTGGTTCTAGAGGTTTTGGGGTATGGTTTACAAGACCATGCTAAGGGCTTGGGGTTTAGTACTCACACACTGACAAAGTTTAGGTTTTAGCTCTGTATGTTTGGAGAGTTGGAACTGAAATCCCTGTATAAAGTTTGACTTTTTGAAGGACTAAACGTTTAGTGAAAGGTAGCAGGAACTCTGCCCACTGGCCAAGGGAGGTAGCGAAGAACCTTGTCTCTATCTGAAGGTCAAGGAGTAGGAGGTATCCTGTGAGAAATTTAAACCTTTTGACCTTGTAGTTACGAGGTTTGCACTATCTGAATAGTTTTGTAATCCTGAAGACAAGAAATTGACATTGTAACTGGTTAGGTAAATAGAAAATGTTGACATCCTGTGCTTTCTTCTGAGTAATTCTCAGAATACAGGTAGCAAGGCATATATTTTCCAGACAAGAAATTGGAAGAGTCTCCTCTGTGGAATTTAATTAGTTTGAGAGCAAAGACTTAAAGATACAGAAGCCATGGTTTCTCCAAGGAAACTGCCTGGCCTTATCACTGTAGAGGAAAAGGCCATAATCCAATTAGCTTTTAAAATAAGAGCAGATAGGCAGGTATCCCCAGACATTTAAAGAAAACATCTAATGTAAACACCAGAGTGCAGAAAAACTAGTATGCAGAAAAAAAATCAACTTTGAAGAAACAGTGACTGAAAGGAAATAGAAATTAAAAAGCAAAAACAAGCAAAACCCAGAACTATTATTAACATTTTCATAGGGAATAGAGAAGTTATTACATCCATGAAATAGGAACAAGATACTATAAAGAAAGGAACATATAAAGAACAAAAAAGAACTTTATGGTAGCAGAAATGAAAAGCTCACTAGAAAGAATGAAATTGAAGAAATCTCTCAGAGTAGAGCAAAATGACAGAGATTGAAAATATGAGAGAAAATATAAGAGAATTAGAGGGACTCATCCTATAGGTTCATTTTCAAGATAATAAGCATCTTAAAAAAGAGAAAACATAGAAAATGGATAGGCAAAATTAATTCAAGAAAACTTCCCCAGAACAGAAAGACATGCGTTTCCAGATGGAAAGGATTTTCCAGGTGCTCCGCACAGTGGATTCACAGCAAGACATATCTTCATGAAATTTCAGAACAATTAGGAGAGAGAGAAGATCCTACCAACTTCCAGAGAGAAAAAACAAAACAAAATAAACATATTTTATGCAAAGGATCAGGGATCAGAATGGGATCAGGAAGCCAGAAGACAGTGGAGTGGTACTTTTACATTTCTGAAGAAAGAAGATTTCCTACTTAGAGTTTCATACCTGGCCAAATTTTATCAATTAAAATAGATGGAAAGGCATTTTCAGTCATGGAGACTTAAACAATTATCTCTTTTAGGAAGCTTCTTTTAGGAAGCTACTGGTGAATGTGTTATAGCAAAATAGAGAAATGAACCAAGAAAGGGGCAGGTGTGGAACTAGGAAATAGGAGATTCGAATTAAGGGAGAATTGAAAGGAATCCCCAGGAAATGGTGAAGGGAAATCCCAAGGTAACAGTTATTCAGTAGGCCTAGTTTGGTAACCAGTTCAAATTTTAACAGGTTACAAACCTCTGAGTTCTTGATTTCATTAAGAAGATAAAATTGATAGAATTCTGAATATGTTTGAATTAACTGAGGAGAGATGTAAAGAACTGGGGACACTAGGGTTGAATTAGAGAAAAGTACGTTGAAAACTAAAGCACATTTTTTAGAAAAAGACATTAACTTCAGGATAAAAAAATACACAGGAAAGTAAATATATCACATGCTCAGTTGTGAATAGGTTTTGCAAAATCATAGTAATTTGAATTAAATTAAAAAAATTTTAGAGGCCATTCTAGGCAGATGGTATTCCTGGGACACTTGGAAGAAACAACACAAAACCACTTTGGAGGGATGTTTCCACATTCTAAGCTACATTGGGACTGCATCAAAAAAAAAGAAAAGAAAACAAGCAAACACCAAAACCAATCAACCAAACATATAAAAACCAAACAAAAAACACCAAACAAACCGAAAAAGTCATGCTTAAGATGAGCTTAAAATAAAAAATTACAAAATACATATGATTATTTTTCTTATTATAAAGAGATTGAGATACATAATAAATATTAACTCAGTCATGCCTATGATTTTTTTTTCTTCACAGTCTTATGACGTGTGATATTTAAGGCACATGGTTTGTAATAGTAAAATTCCTTGCTAATTTAGAAAAATTTTACTTGTAGTGTGTAATTTTACACAACACACAGTGGCAGTACCTTAAAGATACTTTCTTTTTTATTGAGGTATAGTTGGTTTACAGTATTGTGTTGGTTTCAGATGTACAGCAAAATTATTCAGTTATATATATACACATTCTTTCAGATTATTTTCCAGTATAGGTTATTATAAGATATTGAATATAGTTCCTTGTGCTATATAGTAAATCCTGTTGCTTATCTGTTTTATGTATAGTAGTTTATATCTGTTAACCCCATACTCCTAATTTATCCCCCTATTCCCTTTCCCCTTTGGTAACCATAAGCTTGTTTTCTATGTCTGTGAGTCTGTTTCTGTTTTGTATATACATTCACTTGTATTATTTTTTAGATTCCACTTATAAGTGATATCATATAATATTTGTCTGACTTACTCTGCTTAGTATGATATTCTCCAGGTCCATCCATGTTGCTACATATGATAATATTTCATTCTTTTCCTTATGGCTGAGTAATATCCCATATTGTGTGTGTGTGTGTGTGTGTGTGTGTGTGTGTATGGCACATCTTCTTTTTTTTGCGTTACGCAGGACCCTCACTGCTGTGACCTCTCCCGTTGCGGAGCGCAGGCTCAGCGGCCATGGCTCACGGGCCCAGCCGCTCCGTGGCATGTGGGATCCTCCTGTACCGGGGCACGAACCCGCGTCCCCTGCATCAGCAGGCGTACTCTCAACCACTGCACCATCAGGGAAGCCCCTATAGCATATCTTCTTAAACCAGTTGTCTGTTGATAGGAATTTGGGTCGTTTCCATGGCATAGCTATTGTAAATGGTGCTGCTGTGAACATTGGGGTGCATGTATCTTTTCAAGTTAGAGTTTTCATCTTTTCTGGATATATGCCCAGGAGTGGGACTGCTGGATCATATGTTAGTTCTAGTCTTAGTTTCTTGAGAAACCTGCATAGTGTTTTCCACAGTGGCTGCACCAATTCGCATTTCCACCTTGTAGGACAGTTCCCTTTTCTCCACTCTCTCTCCAGTGTTTATTATTTGTAGACTTTTTTGATCATAGTCATTCTGACCAGTGTGAGATGATACTTCATTGTGTTTTTGTTTGCATTTCTCTAATAATTAGCTATGTTGAGCACCTTTTCATGTGGCTGTTGGACATCTCTATGTCTTCTTTGAAGAAATGTCTAGGTCTTCTGCCCATTGTTTGATTGGGTTGTTTTTTTGATATTGAGGTGTATGAGTTGTTTATATATTTTGAATATTAACCACTTATCAGTCACATCACTTGCAAACATTTTCTCCCATTCCATAGGTCTTTTTATTTTGTTGATGCTTTCCTTTGCAAAAGCTTTTAAGTTTGATTAGGTCCCACTTGTTTAGTTTTGCTTTTACTTCTTTTGCCTCAGGAGACTGATCTAAGAAAGTATTGTTACGATTTATGTCCGAGGATGTTTTGCTTATGTTCTCTTCTAGGAGTTTAATGGTGTCCTGTATTATGTTTAGGTCTTTAGTACATTTCGAATTTATTCTTACATAAGGTGTGAGGGAGTGTTCTGATTTCATTGATTTACATGTAGCTGTCCAGTTTTCCAAACACCACTTGCTAAAGAGGCTGTCTTTTCTCCATTGTATATTCTTGCCTCCTTTGTCATAGAGGTGTGTCGTAGGTGTGTGGGTTTATTTCTGGGCTGTCTTTTCTGTTCCATTGATCCATATGTCTTTTTTTATGCCAATACCATGCTGTTTTGATAACTACAGCTTTATAGTATTGTCTGGCATCTAGAAGGGTTATGCCTCCAGCTTTGTTCTTTTTCCTCAGGATTGCTTTGGCAATTCTGGGTCTCTTATGGTTCCATATAAATTTTAGTATTATTTGTTAACTTCTAAGTGAGATAAATCTAATTTTATTTTTCAGCATTTTAATTTTTTTTTAACAGAGTAAAAAGAAATTTGAAAGAGAATGTAGAGAGGCAGAGAAGGCACAACAGAGTTATGAAAGATTGGATAATGATACTAATGCAACCAAGGCAGATGTTGAAAAGGTAAGAAATAATCCAAACTGACTTTAATATCAAAATATTATTACTTGCATATGGAGAGTAGTTACAATATTTGTGTTGGTATTAGAGTTTCCTCAAGAGATACACTACATCTAAATCTAAGATACACAAATATTTACATACTTTACACATAGTGATCTGAGAAAGTAATTAGAATAAAATTAATATATTAATGTCAACTGCATTCTGAGTGTATAGGAAAGACATAGTTGCTATTAGGAATGAGCTTCTATCCTATTTAAAAATAAGATAGAAAGTCTAAGGTATGTTGATGGGGTATGCAAATAGAGGCTGGATAGTGTGCTTCCCAACTATATAGAAGGGAAAACATGATAAAACTGTCAGAAGTGTGATATCAACTATTTGTTTATTATTTGATTAATTCAGTCATTCATTTTTGAAAACTGAATTCTCTCTTGTCATTCACTGACTGATTCTGGGCCAGATGTTCTGTAACATTACTGTTGGTAGGATCAGCCCTGTAACTGTTGCTGCTTAGCTTCTCCTTCTCCCCTGCTGTATGCTCTTTATCTTAGGACATTTGACACAGTGATAGTGCTGAAATGTTGGGATTTTGAAAAATAGATGAAACTTACTCCATGTTTTTGTATATACAAAGACCCAACATTAGTATATTTTCTCCTTAGAATTTTGTAATTTCCTGTAGCATCAGAACAAGAAAAAGCAAGAAGAAAGGAATAATTTATTTTCTACCTTCCGTTTTCTTTACCAGTTTTAAAAAACCCCCAAATCATATACATTTCAGGGTACAGTTACCTTAAAGTTTTTCTAGTATAACTTATGATGGCGTTTATCTTTTCTACCCTATTTTTAATAACATATCTCTTATGATAGTAAGTTCCCTGTTATTGGGAATATAGAGTCTTAAAATAGTCTGTTCATTTTTTTTTTTTTTAATTATCATTTCCTTATATTGACCCCACTTGTCTCCCTGTTCAGCTTTAGTTTCTTCGAGGTACCAGAAAAATAGCAAATCTGTATTTTTCTCAAAATAGATTTTTAGATATTTGTAGCAGATTATCTACCCCTAGATGAACTATTGTGTTTCTTCACCTATTGCACATATGAAATATCTTCAAGTTACTTTTCAGATATCTTCAAGTTACTACTTTCCTTTGGATACCAATTTAATTAGCCAATATTCTTTGTAACCTCAAATTGGGTATAGTTCAGTCTGATCAGTTCTGAGTTTGATTACCTCCTTTGTTTTGAACACTAAATTTATGTTAATTATACCCTAAATGTATATCAGCTTTTTGGGCAACCACATTGTTTGGCTTGACTCTCATTGAGTTTATGGTTAACTGAAATCCCCATGTCTTTTCACATATGGTGTGGTATAAGAATATGTGTCTCAGGCAGAACTTGTACTGTTGGTCTTTTAAATGTATATGCTACATCTGTATCAATTATTAGATTTGATCCTGCTGTTAAGATTTTTGGATCCTGATTTTGATCATCCACTATATTAATTTCCTTCCAGGTATCATGTCATACACATAATGTGTTATCATTACTTGATAAAAATGTGGACCACAGCACTTGCAAACAGCCCTCTTTTATATATGGGAAACTTCCTTGCTGGTTGACATTGACTCCTTAAGAACTCCTTTGACTTATTATCAAACATCAATTGAGTACATAGTTTATGTACTAGGCAAGTTAGGCGAACTCTTTAACTGGACTCTCATTTTTAACTTACTCATTTTGTCTATAAAGATATCTTTAGAGATAGGTCAGACATCTTGAAATCTAGATAAAATATGTCTACTAGTTAGTTTCACCTAACTAGTTCAGAATTTTTATGTTTATATCTTCCTTTTTTATTCTTATTTGTTTGCAGCCTCTTTAATTATTAGAGAATTAGGAAAGCTTTGAAGTTTTACTTTAGATACCAGAGAGTAGAGGAATTCTGTTTTAAGTGACCAGGAAGGGAAGGGAACATAGTTTCAAGTAACTACTTAATGAAAGTTTAAAAAAAAAAAAAGCATAAAAAAACAGGTGAAGAGGGAGCAGGCCGAGTATCTTCCTAAAGAAAAGGAAGTCAGTTGCACAAAACCGTGAATATATGTAACACTATCAAACTGTACACTTAAAAATGATTAAGATGGTAAATTTTATGTTATGTGTATTTTGCCACAATTAAAATTTTAAAAAATTTGATGAAATATAAAAAGAAAAAAAGAAAGGAAAGGCAGTAGATGTGAAACCCAGAATATGCCAGGGAAGGTGTCAATTGTTTTAGCTTCTAGCCTTATTCTCTTACATAACCTGCTGGAGCCTTTCTCCCAGGCCTTGGGAATCACAGCCAAGTGACTTGGAACATGAGGAGCTTCCCCTGAAAGAACCATTGTGGGTAGGGAATATTCTGGAATCCTTTTATTCCATCATAGTTTGTGAGGAGGGAGAAAAGGGAAAGGAGTGAATGAATGTGTACTTACAATCCCAGGTTAGAACTTGAAGTGTATTTTTCTGTAAATATTTTGGGCCATGGTGTTTAGTTTTCATAGTACTTAGTTATTTTAATTTTCAAGTACACTGTGGATTAAATGGATTTTTGTGGACTTATCTGAGATCTTGACTGCCATGTATATTTGTAGGTCAGTTTGTTTCTGAGTTCAGAAGAACTAACTTGTAGACCTACTGTTAGAAGGTTAGGGATTACAATTGTAAAAACTAGAATTAGAATAATGAAGTGTATTTACAATGTGCTTTTATTGATATAATTTTCAAAGCACTCTCATCTAACATGATTTATAGCTTGGAACACTGAAAATTTTTCAATTCTTGTTTTTTTCTATTACTTTATAACAATTGAGAAAATTGTTTAGATTCCCCTCCAATAAATCTAGATTTGTGCTGTTTGTATTCTGATGTTCTCACCAATGAATCAGTAGATGGTACTAATGTTCTCATTCAAAAAGCATTTCTATAAGACCTTCCTTGAGATGAACAGAACTACATTCTAAATAAGCATTCCTTAAATAAAGTACCTGTGGATTTGTATAGAGGTAGAAATTATTGTTAAGCATTACATTATCCCCAAATCCCATTTTTACTATTATTTGGTTTCACTGTGGTTCTGAGTTGGATATAACTGGATTATGTTTAAAGAAATGTTTCACTGCTAACTTTGTAACTGTCTAAATTATTCCTGATGCTGTTTTGCTCTTCTGATTAAAAGCTTACTATTTCAAACCATAATGTTGTCATTTATTTAATTAAAAAAATCTGAATTTGTTAAGGAGAAACTTTATTTTAATGGATTATTGTAAGGGGGAGGATTTATTATTGCAGTAAGAAAAAGGGAATATTGCAACAGGGAGACTGGCCATAAGATCTGTAAGCCTCTCCTTTACTTTTAAATGATATCAGTAGTTAGAAAAAGTCTCGTTTTAGTATAACTTCTAGAAAAGTGAATTAGCTGTGATTTTGTTGCTTGTCTTGTTGTTGGTGATGATTTGGATCAATTTGCCTCTAGGCTAAACAGCAGTTGAATCTACGTACACATATGGCTGACGAAAATAAGAATGAATATGCTGCACAATTACAAAACTTCAATGGAGAACAGCACAAACATTACTATGTAGTGATTCCTCAGATTTACAAGGTAAAATTTAGAGATGTGAAATTAACCTAATTTTAGATACGGAAGAGCTAGTCTTTAAATGTAAAACTTTAAAATTTCAGGCATCAATTAGAATGTTTCTAGATTCACTAGTTATCAAGATTGGTGATAAGAAATTTATGATTATAGATGTGAAAAGTAGATTTTTTTCTGACTGAAATCACAGATTTTTCTACAGATTTATTAGTAGTATATTAAACAGTTCACTAAAACAATGACATTTTCTAGATAAATTTTAATACATTATTAAGTCTTATGAGGTGGGAGAATTCATTGGAATTGTGTATTGTAGTCTGCTCACTTAGAATTTGGATGTAGCTTTTTGACACTATAATAGAATCATTGGCATTAGTCCAGATGGCAGAAATAAATCTTAAGAAATACATTTGCTAGCCTGGTTTTTGCCTGCTTATCTTCCTAGCTGCCAGATCGTAAATGTAATTCAGGCTTATAAATCCCATCCATCATCATTGGATGGTACTAATTGCCAAACGGCCCTCAGGTAAGGACCCCGGAGGTTAAATTATGTCACCGCCTATTCTAGAAAGAAGAGAAATTAGAGAAAAGGGATTTAGTGAAACAGTGTTGAAAACATTAGTACCTGGGAGAGCAGAGCTTTTGTGAAAAGAGTGTCAGTCCAAATACACCTTTTTTTTCTTGGAGGCAAGTTAGAAGTACAAAGGAAGCATAGTGAGAGATGGTGGACTAGAGAGGGTATCAGATTTCAGTCATTTAATCCAGAGCATCTAGTCAGCCTGTCCTCACTCTGTGGTGCTTTTCTAAACTTACCAGTTACGCCTTCGTATTCTGGGGAGCCCTTAACTTGGAGATCCACTGCTTTTGTGTGTTTTGGGGCTTGATCCTTTTGTTTGTACTTTGCTGTGGAGCAGTCTTGCCACTTTGTGATGCTGGGCACAGTTCTTTTGTGAAAATGCAGGTCTCAAAATAAATTCCCAGGCTTTGGGAAGTAAAGAGGAAAAAAGTAGTATGAAGGCTTTGGGAGCTAGGGGACTTCAGCAGTGTAGTTGCTTCCTATGAGAAAGAAAGGTCATTGTTGACAAATAAGAAGTGCCAAAAAATGCCTTTAAGTTATTTGGCATAATTGTGTCCTGGCATAATTCTTAGTGGCATGTGCCAATGAATTTTTGAATTGTAGGGATTCCATACATGTATCACTTTGACCTTGTGGCTTCTTGTTTTTCCTCTTGTGTCTCCAACCTTTCGATAGTCACTTTGAGCTGTAGAATGTGGTAGGTTTGGGTACCCATTGGTATGCCGTCAACTGTGGATTCTTGGTCCAGTCAGATCTTACCAAAATGTTCTGAACTAACGTAAGGGTTTAGAATGCTCACACTTGTATATGTTTTATGCCAGTTGCTTAAAAAGGAAAAAAAATGTGTCAAAATTCTGTGTTAAAATGAAACTTTTCCTAGAAGCATAAACAACAATAACTGCTCTGACTGAAGAATGAAAGATGGAGGTTGTATGAGGCAGAGGTCTGGTAGCCTGTAGGGGGTCCTTTAGAAGGCTTGAAAACTGTTGTCACCTGGTTTTACGATATACTAAAAGCCTTGTTTTTTTCTTTTCTTTTTTTTTTTTTTTTTTTTCTACTTCACAGGCCTCAAGTTTTAAGTACTTTAAGTCTGTAGCACTTGTTAAAAGGTATTTACAACAGTGTAACTGTTAGGGTAGAATCTTTATGGGTTTTTTTTTTTTGGAAGGGGGCTGCTTCAGAATGAAAAGAAAATTCAGTTTTCCTTTTTTTAAATTCCTAATTATTAGCAACTACAAGAAATGGATGAACGAAGGACTATTAAACTCAGTGAGTGTTACAGAGGATTTGCAGACTCAGAACGCAAAGTTATTCCTATCATTTCAAAGTGTTTGGAAGGAATGATTCTTGCAGCAAAATCAGTTGACGAAAGAAGAGTAAGTGTTTTATAATTAATTTGAATAATATATTTGGTTTAAGTTAGTGAAATGAATTGGGAAAGAGGGGAAGTAATTGATGGTTAGCTGATTTTAAGTTATATTCTGTAGAAGTAACTTATTGCCAGACTCCTTTGGGCTGTAAGGATCATTCTAAACACTAAAATTCTAATTGTTTAAAAGGAAAGAGTTCTAATGCTTCTCTTTCCTTTCCCCACTAATTTTTCAGTTCTACTCCAAGAGTATAACTAACCTATGAATTGTATGTTACAAACTGTATGATACTGTTAGTCTAGTGAAAGTTTAAAGAAGGAAATGGTCAGATCTAGAGTTGTAAGAGTTGCTTGTAACCACAGGAGTTGGCACTTGAGCTGCATTTTGAAGCCTGAGTAGTGTATGGAGTGATGGCTCATGAGAAAAGAAGGAGGGCATTATGAGTAGAAGGTACTGCCTTCAAGAAGCCCTGCTCCTCTTGAAGAAATAAGTCTAATCACATTATATCTTGATTAAGGTCTAGAAAAGGTCTTGTACCTGGTCATTTTTCACTAAATGTTGATTTAGTGACTGAGAAGCTAAGGTTAACAGAAAATGAGGATATGAGGGAAAAGGAAGAGAAGAGAACCAGTGTTTGGGGAGTGCCAAATATGTAGTACGTATTTTAGTCTTCACGACAAGTTGGTTTTATATGAGTGAAGGTCTTTCCTGTATAGTGTATAGTATTCTGTATAGTACAGAATTCCTGTCAGAATTCTGACTTAAATTTTAAAAAGGAAAGAAGATTTTGGGGTTCTTTGGGAATTCAAACATACATTTATATTTTGGTATAGCTGCACCCAAGGTTATAAATATAGTTAGGTCCTCCTCCTCTCTCCCTCTTCTTACCCTTTAGCAGATGATTGGTGGGGGTGGCATTAGTGACAAAAAAAAAGTAAGGTATGACCTAAGGATGACTTTTGACTAAATGATAGGCAAAATGTACTACCAACAGAAATAGGGAATAAAAGAGGAGAGCTGGTAGGGGTTGGGGAGGAGTTTGTAGAGATAAAGTATTCTGTTTGCAAATAATGATTTTAAGGTGTCAATAGAACATTCAGATAGAGCTATGTATGTCCAAAATCAATATATAACACTTATGTGAGTTTTAAAGTTTTGGGTAAATGGTGCTAAACTTTATTTCAGAGTTACTTTTTGCACTCAGTATTGTTTGTGAGATCTTTTTTCATTGCTCTGTTAACATTTCCTCGTATGTCTTTAATATATTTTATTTGTCCTTTCCCCTGTTGCGTGAATGAAAGCCTTTCTACTTGTCTCTTACCCTCTTTTACAATTAGATGCCCTTTCCTCTTTTCCATAGGTCACCTTCTTTGGAGACATCCTGTAAAACAGAAAACCCTTTTCCTTTAAAACTTAGAATTTCTACTTGAGAATAACCATGGAGTGAAAACATCTGTGAATATTACAAATTAATAAAGTAGTAATTTGTTTGTAAATTATTTTTCTATAGGAATTAAAATATTTATGGTTTATTACATATTCACAGGAAGAAATTATTCACTTTAAACCTTTAATAAGTATTGTAGAATTATTTCTTTAAATTTTTATTTGTTGTTTTCTAACACAGATTAAGGTTTTTGAAAGCTAATATGGTATCATAAGCAAATGAAATGGTTAAAAAAAAACATGTTTCTTGTGTATAGGACTCTCAGATGGTAGTAGACTCCTTTAAGTCCGGATTTCAACCTCCAGGAGACTTTCCATTTGAAGATTACAGTCAGCATATTTATAGAACCATTTCTGATGGGACTATCAGTGCATCCAAACAGGAAAGTGGGAAGGTGGATGCCAAAACCACAGTAGGAAAGGCCAAGGGCAAGTTGTGGCTCTTTGGAAAGAAGCCAAAGGTAAAAGTCATAAAATTCCTCTATGCTAATAATTTTGTTTTAGTTTGTCATTTAAAATGATGTAGGTATTTAATGGGTAATGGTTTACTATTAATAGAGAATAAATATTTTGATTTGAATGATTCAATTAACTTTTCACTTAGTAGAAACATAGAATTTTGTACCTTAATAGTAAAAATTCTTTCTGGATTTAACATTTGACTGCCATATAAAAATGAGTAAAAATATTAAATAAGCTGTTAATATCTCTTAAATTATATGCTTTTGAAATTTCATTTGTATGTAGTCTCAGTTCAAATTTTTTCAGAATCATTATGATCTAACTCTAAGATCACAAAAATTGCAGTTCTCAGTTGGAATGAATGATTGACCACAGCAATAATAAAATGTCAGATTAGGTCTTATAGATCATACTAATAAGGTTATTTTTATCATCCATGTGAATATTTAATGGGAAGGGCTCAATGCGTGTGTTATTTGAAGTTTAAAAAAATCTCTAGTTTACTAAGAGAATCTCTCTTAACCTCCTGTTGAAACCCATCTTTTGATGTGTTGTTTATTTTAGATAGATAAATTCAGCTCAGTAGGTGAGCAAATGGAATAGATGCGTGCTTAATCTTCTTATTAATTTAATGACTGTAAAGTGTCATAATCAGTAGGAGAATAGATATGTACTTTTAATCTGATGTTCTGTATTTATTAAAGTATACATGATTATTTTAATTCATTTTTCTGATCTTGACATACAAATGTAGATAAAATTTAACTCATTATAATATACCTGTAAATATCTTTAAAAGCACAATTATAATTAACTCAAGCTTTATTCATGCTTTTCATAATATTGTCCCATTGAGAAGTTGAGAGGTGAGACGTTTTTAAAAGTCAGATCAGAGTAGCTAGGAGAGCTTAGAAAAACAAGGAATACTGAAATATTTTTTAAAAACGAGGTGCAACAGGGATGAAATAGAAACAGTTTTGAGAGGAAAGCCACAAGGTAATGAAATTATTTTGCCTATTTATGATAATCAGTTACAATTTTAATATTTTATTTTAATAGACATTGACTATTTAGATAACTTTAACTGTAGCTGCTGCCTTTATCTCTGACAAGTATTATAGGTTAAGTATAACTAACTAGGTGGTGCTAATATTCTAGAAATCAGAAGAGAATTTTTTTGTCTAGGTCATATTGCTCTCTCTAACCTTATAATTTGTATATATATTTTCAGTCTGTCAGCTTGTAAAAACGTGATGAAGTGGTATATTTTTAAAAGTAAATTTGACTTTTTAAAATGACAGTTTTGGCAAAGCTATGTTAACTTTCTTATAATATTTTTATAGAAAACTTTGAGATATTTTTTGTAAAAAGTATGTTGCCAAAAATAGAATTTTCATTTAGGAAGAAAAGCTATGCACATTTGGCTTATTGATTCCTTTCTTTATTTCCATATTAGCCACAGTCCCCACCCTTAACCCCTACTAGTTTATTCACATCCAGTACTCCTAATGGGTCCCAGTTTCTCACATTCTCCATTGAGCCCGTGCATTATTGTATGAATGAAATAAAAACAGGGAAGCCCAGAATTCCTTCTTTCAGAAGTCTCAAAAGAGGGGTAAGTTTAATAATGGGTTAAAATGCATGATGGCCTATTGTGTGTGTAGTGTGGCTTTTAATACTCTCCACCCTCATTATAAGGCTCTCTCCTATATATATGTAGTTTAAAACACGACAGAATTAAGTATAGCTGCCCTCAAGTTAAAAACAACTCCTCTTTATAACATTTGAAATGCTCACCCATTAAAGAATGGTATTATAAAGAGGGTGCTGGGTACAATCATATTAGCTATTTTTTTTGTTGTTGTTGTTTATGTGAAGTCATATGTCCGCCATTGTCTTGTAATGTATTTACATTTTTAAGACTTTCAGTAATTTGTCACTGGAGTTACTCATGTAATAATTTGTCACTAATGATGACCTCTGTGAATTTATAAAGTATTATTTTGTTGGCAAAAAAAATCAAGTTCTATTTTAATTTTAATTGCCCTACTTTCAGAAGCATAAAACACAATTTCCAATAGTTAAATAAAAAATCAAAGATAGGCATGTTAAATATCAAGACTGTAGATCAATTAAGATAATATATTAAAAAGTACTTTGTAAGTTGTAAAGCCTGTAAAAATACTAGATATTATTGAGTAATGGTTATATGGAATTTGTATTGAGTAATTGTTACAGGAAGTATTTTTTACCAAATATTTCCTTTTTTTTTTTCCAATAGGCTAGCCTTTGGCATTTACTTAAAACTAAAGATACTCTGCAAATGAAAAGTTTTAGATAGTAAAAAGCAAATATTAAATTGTTTCTTAGCAACAACTGTTATACTACTGATAAATTAGTGTTACTTCATTATGTTAGTCTAATTTCTTTTATGATCTGGTTTTAAGGCCGTGTTTGTAATATTCATAGCTCATAATTTAGATACATTTATGAGATTTGTATGAGCATTTGTTTGGACATATAAAAAACATAGGTGTGATAACCAATGAGAACTCAGAGTCTAGTAGTGTCATAAGAACTCTAATCATTAACAGCAATACCCTCACTCTTGGACTCACTCTTCCTTGCAATCCCTCTCTCTTCCTTCCCTTTTCCTGCTTCTCCTCCCTTCCTCTCTCCCTTTGTTCCTTTCTCTCCCTTTCATTTCTTTCTTCTTTTTCCTTCTCTGTCTAGCCTGTGTGTTTCTCACTGTTTGTAGCCCTTTCTATCTTCAAATTGCTTTAGTTGGGTTTCTCTTCTGGCCACATGTGGACAAGATACATTAATTTAGGGCAAGATTACATTATTATTTACATTTCCATTGAAACAGTATGACAAACAATTGGTATCAGTAGTCCAGCAGAAATATCCTAGTGTATTATGTTCTTTTTGGGACTTCCTTTTTTCCTATAATGACATGAACTTCTTTGCATCTACCTTTTCTAATTCTGTATGTGAATGATATTATAGGTTAATTTCATGACATTTTGAAAAGTCCCTGTGAATGAGTCTGTATTATACCTACAAGCACCATAGGTGCCTGTTATCACTTTTCAAAGCTCTTATCACTTGTTTAAAAGACTTTAAGAAATCATACGTGGGATTTCTGTTGCCTGAACAATAGAGTAGAATTAATTCCCATCTTTCTTCTCTTTGATGACTTAGACTTCATTAAATATTATGCTTTTGCATAAATCATGAGAAATTACAAATAGTAATTTCTAGTAGCCATATTTTTGTAATCACATATGTGTCCTACATATCTAGTCTACCAGGCCCAGTTACAGTACCCTAAACAGTATAGTTATAGGGATATGAAGTAAATATAATTCTTTGAAAAAAGTTTAGGCAGTTAGAACTGGGAGCCCTGGAGAGAGAAGCTTAAATATGTGCCATCTTCATTGTTATTGAATAAATCTATTGGTAGAATTTTATAACCGTAGAACTTAAAAGTATCTGCGGGGTCATTATTTCTCGTTATTTCCACATACTGCTTCAATTTAAAATATTAGTACATTTGGTGGGGGTGGGGGGTGGGGGGCTAGTTCCAGAAGGGCAAAATGGTCCCACTTTTATTATTAGTTATCATGCCAAAGAAAAAAGCAGTATGCAAGATGGAAAATATGACAGACAAACCAACTAGAGATTGGAGAATAGAGCAGGAAGTAAAGTTTATTACCTTGGCATTGAGAAGTTTCTTTCTATTTTGATTGGTATTTGGTAGTTTACTAGATACTATTTCGAAATTATGTTTTCTTCCACTTAAGAATTTTCTCAAAATAGACAAAGAAGATAAGCTTTAAGAAGCCAGTTTATGTGTTTTTACATGAATTTCCATGTAAGTCCATTAAACTTACAAAGTCTTAAGGTTTCGTAAAGCTGATGAGTTGTACCATTCAAAGCAGAAACGCTTGTTTTGAGCTATATTTGTTACATCATTTTTCCTAAGTACCTGATTTTGGCTTTTCTAAAAATTTATAATTTCTTTTTCTTTCATTCTTAAGAAAACCTATTGTATACAGTTTGCAGTATCTTTAAGGATATGAGAAATGTTATATTGGACCAGTGTTTTTGAATTTGATGGTGGTACTGGTAGACTTTCTCTGAGGGATGAGGGTTTATAATTTCCTTCTGTGACATCAAGATCTAACCTTAAATAGATATTTGGTGCACACCCAAACTTAACTACTTAATATAAAAATGAATAATTTTTACTCTATAACTACTTCATTGGAGCTTACTGGGTACTCCTTTTTTTTTTTTCTAGAAGTATATTTATCTAGCAGTATCAAGTCCATGTTCTCTTTTTAAATTCATGATCTTAAAATTTTAAATTTAAAATTTAAAATTTAAAATTTTAATTTTAAATTTTATCTAGCAGTATCAAGTCCATGTTCTCTTTTTAAATTATTCATGATCTTATAGACTTCTAGAGTCATTTTTGTAAGCTTTTATTTATCCAGAATACAGTTCTCAGGATTTTCCTATCTTTAAATTAAATACACATAATAATTTGAATTGCCTGACTGATTTCCTTTTTAGGTCCCTTATGTATTTATTAAGATATAGTTGGTATGTGAAATTTTCTAGTTATAGGGTTATGAAAATTGCATATGAGAGTATAGTATTTCTCTACTGAACGTGAATTGCTTAAAAAAAAAGACAAAATATATTTCTAATATTTTACAAAGAACTTGAGTTTTTAATATCCCCAAATCTAAGGTTAATGAACTGTGAATTTATTTTCTAACTGATAGTAAAACTAGGTTAGCTAAAAACTGAAGCATTTGATATTTCAGTTATAATTATATTATTGTTTTCTCTAAAGCTATTAATATAGAAGCTGAAAAAATAATTTATCACTTAGAAATTTAGCTGATCATCATAAAAGATAAATTCAAATGCTTTACCTATTTTGTTTCTTATCATCTATATGATTTTGTTTTAATAATATTTATAGAAGACCATAAATATCTTTTTAAAATTTAAAGCTTCTAATCTTCTTACCAGGAATTTTGTCATAGCGAAATAAGTTGTGGTTTTTGTTCCCTGAAACTACTGACAGTCTAAAGAATGTTAAGCTTAAGTTGGAAAGATAATGGATAGCATATGTCATCTTTTCTTATCATCGTAACCATTAATATATATGGCCAGTTCATCAGAGATAAAGGGTAGATATTTTTGTCAGCTATTTATTAAAATCCATATTTTTTATGTGAAATTCTACCTGACATCTTCCATATTCTCTAAAACATCATGACTTAGAAAATAGGGACAAGTAAAAATTTTAGAGGCTGGTAAACAAATGAAATGGATATGAAGATGAACTTTGCAAAGCTCTACTGAGTATTATGGGTCACAATGTGTGTGTGAGTGTGTTTGTGCGCACGCATGTGCATGTATACACGTGTGGATGGCAGACAGATGCAGTGCCAGTTACAGAATCCTGGTAACTCATAGAACGTGGGTGATATATAAATATGCATATATATATTCACAATATGAGAGGACTGTGCTATGTCATTTCACATTTTCAGAAAGAATAAATTTTAACCAGTTTTCTAAAAATTGAAGTTATGTATTTTTAGTGTTGCTTTTCGAGCACATGGATTTCAGAATGAAAACTGAAAAATGGAAGCTATATCTTCAAAGCAAAATTCAACCCATATGTTTGTGTCCATTAGCAAATATGTATGGGAAACTTGAATCTGGGTGACTCATTATTATTTTGATAATAGTGTGTTTTTTGATGTGTCCGTACATTAAAAATAGCACCTTAAAACTAAAGTAGAAATGTTACCCTTACTGACCCATAGTATATTTAAATTCAAAACAGTATTTTGAACTATAATAATTCAGATGATGGTGTTTTGTTTAATGCATTGGGAAAAGTATTCCATTCTTTAATACTACATATAATATTTATTTAAAATGGCTAATATTAAATCTTTTATATTCACCTTTTCAAATATTAGTATTTTGAGAGTGAACAGCTATGTAAGTGAAATCCACTTATGTAAAAATTGTTTTTTAAAGAAGAAAATACGTGTTTACTGATAGAATGATTACTATTTACTTTTGCATTTCAGTTGCACTTTGAAAATATCTGCCCGTTATCATCAGTGTATAGGTTTTTTTGCAAGTAATTTACTTTCCCAAAAGCGTGGTTAAAATTGTTTTTCTGGCATAATTGTTTGGATTGTGAAATGTACATGATTTATTTTAATATTGTAAAAAAAAAAGAATAAGTTATTGCATCTTCTGTATTATGGTTTCATGTGAATAATATACCATTTCTTTCTGTTTTCCATTGAACTATTCAGTGGTCGGTGAAGATGGTAAGCCTTATGTGCTGATCTATATACTGTGCCAACATTAAATAATCACAAAACATTGTTTTGTTTAATTCAAAACAAAGTGGTAACGTACATCCCCACATGTTACCTTGTATGTCTTTTCTTTTTATAATTTAATCCATAGTCCAACACATGCCAGTACCTCTGATGTCATAAAATTTAATAATAATGTGGTTAACTGTAACTCATTAAGTTCTTAAATGTTATTGGGTGGAATCTTTGTCATGTTACAGAGAATGAAATTATAGTTAAACATCATTTTAAAAGTTACATGGTAGAACAAAAGTTTATGTTTTTACAAAAGAAAAATTAAACAAAAATGATTTTTCTTAACATTCTTTAAAAAGATCATATAAGTTTGATTTGTAGTTTATCACAAGAATCATTAGATTTTCCAAAATGTAAGAAAGAAAGATTTCTTGCTAGTTTCATTAGAGTCAGTGCTTTCTTCTTGTCTACTAATGAATGGGAATAAAAGCACAAATAACTTAAATATCGTGTGTGTGTGCGCGTGTGTGCTTGCGCATGTGTGTGATGTTCCTTTATACATATGTTTCAAACAAATTAATGGAACTGCATTGTGAAGACCTAATGTAAAAATTATTGGGTGCTTATGTAGTTTCTCATTTTTTGGAAAACAAATGAATCTTTTTCAGACTATTGCAGTTTGGCCTTTTATGAATTCCCATGTAGTAGGAGAGGTTTTTAAATGTCTCAGAGTCTCCTTTACAGCCATAGGAGATAGAGTGAGTTTACTTCTCATATTCTATAAAGGAATATGTTATAATGTCAAAATGGGATATTAAAAATGCAAGTGCCTAGCTATCTGCTGTTAATAAATTTGAGAACAAGTTTGATTAATGATAAGTGGAAACCTGGAGGATTTACTTGTAGGTAATTGTGAGTTTATTACAATACTATCAAAAAGCAATATTGAAATGTGTTTTTTCATTTCATTAAATTAAAAAATATAAATTAGAAAGTTTTACTTTTGGCACAATATAATAGTTTTCAAACTATCATATACCTGTACCCCAAATTAGATTAAATCTGACAACTTATATTGATAATTGACCACTAAATTTAAAGGCATCTTGTAGGAAATTTTGCCATTTGTTTATTTAGGTCAGATTTGGGTGATTGACAGATTTTTATTTCTGGTGACTGGTAGATTAAAAAACAAAAGCCACTTAGAAAAGATGTCCTCCTTTTTTTCTTTAGACAGGCTTGTTGAATGTCCATAATGTTCAGGCCATTTGCAAAAAATTTTCTTATGAATTAAATGTTACATTTGATCATGGCTTACCTGAAAAGTGAGTTTTATCTTTTTTAAAAGCAAGGGAAGCACTCTTATAGATGGTGAAATAAAGCTATTTAGATGTGTTATAGGAGTCAGTGGTTCAAGGAGCAGGGGTGCATTTGTTGTGGGAGCTCACTTCAGCAACACTTAAAAAATTGAATTGCATATTCTTAAAATCCCCATTTTAAAGAGAAAAATGAAGAATAATAGTTGTCAACAATTTTTGAGTATGTAAAATCTTAAATAAATATGGGCTCATGTTAAATGGAATCAATAGTTGCTAACATTGGTCTGGTTGTATAATCTCTAATAGATAACTACGGTAACAATGACATGATTAACATTTAAGAGGAGAAAGACATCATTTGAATCAAGTTACATCTAAATACTAGAACTGTTTCTTAAATGATATAGTTTCTTGAATATCAAAACATTAAAAAATTTTCAGACATTAAGCATCCTTCCTAAATAAGGATTTTATCTTTATTTCAAGAACAACTGAGGTATGCTATTTGGTTGTACAAAGGATAATTGAAAATAAATTCCTTATTGGAATGTAATTTCTACTTACATTTCACTTGGTGGATAGTTCTACCTTTTATTTTTTAATGATCAAGTATGTTTTGGTTCTAATGAATGGTTTAATAAATATAATCATTCAAAGACTGTGTAATATTAAAATATTTTTCATTAGTTATATTGCCTTTATGAGGTAAGTTGTTTAACTCAGTTATATAAACTTCTCATATTTTCAGTCTGAACATTTGTAATATCCTGAGTGTCATGGCAATAGATTTGATTTGGGAATGTGGTGCAGTATGTTATATAAAAAATACTTTGTATAAGTGAGAAATGTTACGTGTTTCCATTTCATTGTTATTGCTGTAAGAAGGTTCATCTGTATTTATTTTAACTCTGCCGAGACCTGAATATAATGTTATACTGGTAATTACCAATTATCTGTATCTGCTGATAATTTTTACCTATTCTATTTCATGATTTTTTAAAAAGTGACTGGCATCTGAGCTCTTTCTTCAATACGATTGTATTTTTAATTAACATACACATACATATCTATGTAGATTTTAATTAACATACACATACATATCTATGTAGATTTCTTTTACTTAAAAGGAGGTGTTTGGGGCTAATTTGAAATTAAACTTAAAATTGATATATAGTCTTACTTTATAGTGAGTATATTTTAGAAATAAAATTTCATGAAAATATCTTTTATAATGATTTAGATTCTCTTTTCAGGGCCCAGCACTAGAAGATTTCAGTCATCTGCCACCAGAACAGAGACGTAAAAAACTACAGCAGCGCATCGATGAGCTTAACAGAGAACTACAAAAAGAATCAGACCAAAAGTATTTAACCATTAAGTTCTGTCTGCCATCATTATTCCTTTCAGAGTCTACTTTGAATGATATGTTTAAATGTGATGTATAAAAGGCTTAAAAATTATACATCCTAATTGAAATATCTTTTGAGGGAAAAATACAGTCCTAAACTTTGGAAAATTGTGCTCTGTCATATTTTTAAAATGAAATGTTAGAGTTTCTTAGGTTGCAGATTACTTACTGGATGCTAATAGTATATATTTATGCCTTCCATAAATTTTCAAAACAGTTTGATGATTATCAAGGGTAGTTTCACCAACACTAACTACCTCTTACATTTTGATAAATTTTTATTTTGCTTTAGTATATAAATTGAGCTCAATAGAAATCTGAGGCTATAATTATTTTGTTTGCAGCAAGAATGTTGGAAAACAGTGTTTGATTACTTTCAGATTCATTCGTAGCTTTCATTTTTTTTCAATTTTATTAAAAGTTTCTTTTAGTTCAATTTTGTTTTAATGAATATAGAGATTTATATATGATGAATAAAAGGTTATTACAGTGGATTGGTAACTTACTATCTGCTATTACACTGAAGGTAAAATTGGAGCTTAAACTCTGACATGAGTGATTGAAGAGATTCATATTTGAGAATGATCTCAAGATAGGTGATATTAAAATAGTCAATTTTGTCTCAGTAAAACTGGAAAAAACAAAGCATTAAGAGATCACCCTTAAAAAGGAGAACTGTAGGATGAGATGAGAAGAAATCTCTGTCATTTTATGTAACACATTTAAAGGATAAACAGAAGAGAAGGAACCAGTGAGGGAAATAATGAGACAGAGGTGAAGGGAAGGGAAAAGAAAATGTAACCTCCAGGAAATCAAGAAAGAAGAGTATTAAGGAGTGTTAGTAATGTCAGATGTTAGAGCCAAGGGGAGCTAATTGAGGCATATATAGTGATATAATAGTGATATGGTAATAATGATAAGATTAGAGAAGTGAAGAGGATGAATGACTTGAATTTAGAGGGAGAGGGGCAAGTTAAAGATGGTATAGATAGTGGGAGGATGATGATGCTGTGAACTAAGATAAGGAACACCAGTGGAATAATGTGTCTGGATGAGAATATGATGAGTTTGATTTGGGACATGATGAGTTTAACAATATTAAGGAATATTCTTTCAGTCCTTGATTAAATATATATAATCTCATTTAGGAAGCAAGAAATGAGAAATGAAATCATTTTTTTAAAATTCTAAATGTTTTAAAAGACTGCCTCCATAAATTACTAACTATGTACCTGATCAGCTTCGTGCAGATTATCTTCAATCAGGTAATGTTTGATTAAAGTTAAAGAGATATGACTTTTAAGATTAGGCTGCATGTGAGTCCCCAGAATCAAATGAAACTCTTTTATCTGGGAACATGTAAAAGTAAATGTTTAATTTTATGTCTTCCTGCTCATTTTCAGAGAAGCACTCAACAAAATGAAAGATGTATATGAGAAAAATCCACAAATGGGGGACCCAGGGAGTTTGCAGCCTAAATTAGCAGAGACCATGAATAACATTGACCGCCTGCGAATGGAAATCCACAAGAATGAGGTAGATTTGTTATTTAGCAGTTGTCTAAGATAAGTTCATTTTTATAAACTTCATTATGATAGATTGGGTTTTGCTAGAATTATCTTCAAATATTTTATTTTAGAGTTTATGATCTAAAAGTAAGGTATCATTATGATCTAAAAGTAAGGTACCATAATCTAAAAGTAAGGTATCATAATCTTTTTTTTTCTGTTTCTTTTTCTTTTGGCTGAGTCGGGTCTTTGTTGCTGCGTGAGGGCTTTCTCTAGTTGCGGTGCGTGGGGGCTACTCTTTGTTGCCGTGCGTGGGCTTCTCATTGCGGTGGCTTCTCTTTTTGCGGAGCACGGGCTGTAGGCGCAGACTTCAGTAGTTGCAGCATACAGGCTCAGTAGTTGCAGCATGCGGGCCCCAGAGCACGTAGGCTTCAGTAGTTGCAGCGTGTTGGCTCGGTAGTTGCAACGTGCAGGTTCTAGGGCACATGGGCTTCAGTAGTTGTGGTGTGCGGGCTTTGTAGTTGTGGCTCATGGGCTGTAGAGCGCAGGCTCAGTAGTTGTGGTGCATGGGCTTAGTTGCTCTGTGGCATGTGGGCTCTTCATGGACCAGGGATCGAACCTGTGTCCCCTGCATTGGCAGGCAGCTTTTTAACCACTGTGCCACCAGGGAAGTTCAGGTATCATAATCTTTAGAATTAATCCCTCACTGAAGTTTTTTTCCTTATTTAAAACTAGTTTATGTAAAACTAAATGTACTATTTTTTTAATCAGCTATCAAGTTGATCATTGACCAAATTGAAATAAAGGTTTCCCTTCTCTAAGAATTACATAATTATAAAGACCCAGAGCACATTTTAAATGTAGGATATTTTATGAGCTTTAAAATATATACATTGGGCTTCCTTGGTGGTGCAGTGGTTAAGAATCTGCCTGCCAGTGCGGGGGACACAGGTTCGAGCCCTGGTCCAGGAAGATCCCACATACCTCAGAGCAGCTAAGCCCGTGTGCCACAACTACTGAGCCTGCGCTCTAGAGCCCGTGAGCCACAAGTACTGAAGCCCACGTGCCTAGAGCCTGTGCTCCACAACAAGAGAAGCCACTGCAATGAGAAGCCCTTACACTGCAACGAAGAGTAGCCCCCACTCGCTGCAACTAGAGAAAGCCCACGTGCAGCAACGAAGACCCAACACAGCCAAAAATAAAACAAAAAGTAAATAAATTAAAAAATATATATATATTTATTGAGCTCAGTTTTGTTTTTTCCCTAAGGCTTGGCTTTCTGAAGTTGAAGGCAAAACAGGTGGAAGAGGAGACAGAAGACATAGCAGTGACATAAATCACCTTGTAACACAGGGACGAGAAAGGTTATTTTTTGCATTTTATTTGTATTTCCTCCTTTTACCCCAAACTTTTCTCACTGTTTTGTCCTAAACTTCAAACAGTTCTCTTTTTTCCTACAAGTTTGGCTTTTAATAACTCAATCTTTGAACCTAAATAATTTTCTGTTTCTTTATAATAGCTACAGGTGAAGTATGAAATTTCATATTGCTGCTTAGTTCTAGTTTGTAATGCGTCTACAAACAGAGAGGTAGGAACTTGGAAAATTCTGGGAGCTGTAGTCTAGAGGCATAGGCTCCCCAGGCCTGGGAAGATTGCCTTTAGGTTTAGATGGAGTTGGGTAGCTTATGCCAAAGAAAAATTTAACTGTCAAATTACTCAAAGTTTTGTGAAGGAAAAAAATTCATATTGTTAAATTGGATCAGGGCTTCCAAAAGGCATTTTACTAAATTTCCATGTTTTCATACCATTTGTGATATTTTCTCCCTTTGGGTAATGTTTTTTTCCCCCTCATAATAAAATCCAACAAATTTGGATTCACCTTAGAGAACAATTTGAGAGATCTAGTATCAAATATTGGTTTACTACCTAATTACATTATAATTTGAGCAAATTCATTTTTAAAAAAATTTTATTGGATTATAGTTGATTTACAGTGTGTTTCAGGTGTACAGCAAAGTGATTCAGTTATACATATACATATATTCATTCTTTCTCAGATTCTTTTCTCATATAGGTTATCACAGAATATTGAGGAGAGTCCTCTGTGCTACATAGTGGGTCTTTGTTGGTTATCTGTCATATATAGTAGTGTGTGTATGTTAATCCCAAGATCCTGATTTATCCCTCCCCTTCACATTTAGCAGCTCATTTTTAATGCTCCCTGAGTCTCAGTTTCCTAAAATATAAAATAAAGATTAAAATACCTGTCATACAGGGTTATTAGTAATGAATGAAATAATGTAGGGGTCCCCAACTGCAGGGGTGGCGCACAGCAGGAGGTGAGCAGCGGGTGGGCGGGTGAGTGACGCTTCATCTGCCGCCCCCATCACTCTCATTACCGCCTGAACCATCCCGTCCCCCCACCCCCGCCCCGGTCCCTGGATAAACTGTCTTCCACGAAACCCGTCCCTGGTGCCAAAAAGGTTGGGGACCGCTGAAATAACGTACATAAAGCACCTACTAGTAAAATACCTATGCTAGTATGTGCTTGACAAATGTTAATTTCTCCTTCTCTTCCTCTCCATTATCACTTTTTGAAAGAGTATATCCTTAATATATCAAGAGATAGTCACAAATACACTGGTTTTTGTTATTAGGTAAACCCTAGATTAAAATAATCTAGTCCCTCTGGTTGTGTTATTAAGAACCTGGCTTCCAGGCATACTGAAAGTACTGCTAAATCTCATCATGCAAATTATGAAAATCTTATTCAGTCATTTGATTCTTTAGCAAAATCAACATCTTTTCTCTTTTTGAAGTAAAAATTTACAGAAAAAATGCCTTTGGATTACCTGCTTTCTGGGATTTTCTTAGTTACTAACTTTCCTCTTAACATGATTAATTGGAAATTAATTTTACTAGGAGTCTTTTGGTTTTCAGTGACAGGATGAATACTCTACCCATACTGGCTTAAACTGAAAAGGGATTTTATTGGCTGACTTCAGGGAGAGCTTGATCTAGGAACTCAGATGATATCTTCAGTACTCCGTTTCTCTCCACCTTCCAGTTTTGCCTTACACTGTGTTGGCTTCATTTAAAGGCTCTACATGGTGATCTTCCAAAGCTCTTAAGCTCATATTTCTCCAGGTTCACGTCCAGTGGAAAAGGAAGGGAGCTTCTCTGAACAATCCCAAGCAAAAGTCTTTGTGTATCTCTCATATCTTACTGGGTTACATGCCTACTAGTGAACTATTCACTCTGGTCATACAAGTTCTGTGCTAAGATGGACCCTCTGGAACCAGGACAGAGCAACTCTACCTGAAGCCTGTGAACTGAACATGGGTCTGGGTGGGTCCCCTAAGAAATTTTAGGGTTTTCTTGAAAAAAGAGGGGGTGATGAATCCAGGATGATAAAAACCAAATGTCCGTGACATTTTTCCATTTTATCTCTGGACCCAGTGATAATGAGACATACTTACTAAATACATGTTATGTGCCTAGAACATTGTAATCTTTTAATTTTTAATTTCAGGAAATTCAACAAAAGCATTTTGAATTAGAAGCCATACACGCACACACACACTTCAACATTTAAGAAAATGAAAACTTAATTTGGAACTGTGTCATGGTTATTTGATTCTCTGAATTGATCCTGAGGAGATCAGCTTGTAGGTAATATAAAAAGTTCCCATGTACTTGATTAGAGATAATTTTGTTTCATAGCCCTGAGGGAAGCTATACTGATGATGCAAACCAAGAAGTCCGTGGGCCACCCCAACAGCATGGTCACCACAGTGAGTTTGATGATGAGTTTGAAGATGATGATCCCTTGCCTGCTATTGGACACTGCAAAGCTATCTACCCTTTCGATGGTATGATTTTCTTAATACACTATAAGTGATAAAATTGGTTCCTTAAAGTCCACATACAGAGTCATGCACTGTAGTGTCCTTATAGCTAAATAAAGTGCCAGAAAATTATAATCCCAGTTTATTAGTGTGAATATTTTTGTTTTAACTACACTGCAGGTATAGAGATTTTTCTTCCGTACATGACATTGAAAGAAAATTACCTATGTTATCAGCATCCTAATAAAGATCATTATTTAATTATCAACTTTGGTTGATACAGAATTTCCCAACTTTGATGTACTCATCAAAGTTGAAGCCGCTTGAGCATGTAGCTCAACCCAGAAAGTGGAAGACTGGTAAATATCACTTCAGGCTCTTCCTTGTAACTTGCTAACATTGAGCGGCAGGTACTAGGCAAATGGCATAGCTCGTGGTGGCATAGGCACCACCATATGCTGACCCTGTAGACCATATTTTCAGGTGAGGGAAGGAGGAAACGTGGTAGCTTCTGACTATGCCATCCTTCCCCCTGTGATAGTTGGAGAAGAGACTCTGTAAGGGGAGGAAGGCATTGTGGCCCTCTCTTACAGGTTTTTAGTTACCCTTCCCTCTCTTGGACTTTGAAAAATCGTTTTCTTCATTTCACAGAGGAGCAGAGTAACACCCTTACAAAGAAGTTGTTATAAAATGGTATATGGGGCTTCCCTGGTGGTGCAGTGGTTGAGAGTCGGCCTGCCGATGCAGGGGACACGGGTTCGTGCCCCGGTCCGGGAAGATCCTACATGCCGTGGAGTGGCTGGGCCCGTGAGCCATGGCCGCTGAGCCTGCGCGTCTGGAGCCTGTGCTCTGCAATGGGAGAGGCCACGGCAGTGGGAGGCCCACGTACCGCAAAAATAAATAAATAAATAAATAAATAAAAATAATGGTATATGAATTTAAGGCCCTTCCCTACCCATCCATTGTTTTGGTTTTTAAATTGAGTAGTTTTTAGTTGCTGCTCATTCTGAGAAAATAGTATGAAATAAGATCTTGCTATAATTTGCTACAGAGAGTAAGGGAAGGATTTAGTGTATGTTAAATAAATATTCATTTGTGAAAACTGTTACTGCTAAGCAGGTTGGGAATGGTTGAGGGATTGGGAAGAAAGAGAGGCCTGAGGCTGATGAAGTTTTGAAGGAAGTTTGTGCTTTGTGGCTGTGATCATTCTGCTTCTACCATCACCAGAGTTGGACCTGGATTTTTCTCTGCTCTCTCCTCAAATTATATTCTTTCCTTCTTTCTTCCAACCCTCTCACTGTCTTGTTACTATTTTGAACTTCATGAATTTTCTAGATAACAGTGCCACTCAAATTTGGGGAAGGAGTTGGAGTAGTGAAATAGGAGTTAGCGTACCCTGTCAAATCATACAGTGTTGTTGTAGCTCAGATATTTCATCTGTTACATGGTGCTGCTGTTAATGCCAGCCTCACGGGTTATTGTGCAGTTCAAATGAGGTAAGTATATGAAACTGTTGGGTAAACTACAAAGCATCATAGAGATGTTCGTAATGAGAGTCAGTGGGCTCATAGTTCTATTACATTGAAATCTAGTAGGGTTCCACGTTGTTTTTTGTTGTATTTGTAACTTTTATTCAAAATTATTGCTATACTTAAATTATGCTTGTGCTCATTTAGGACATAATGAAGGTACTCTGGCAATGAAAGAAGGTGAAGTTCTATACATTATTGAGGAGGACAAGGGTGATGGATGGACAAGAGCTCGGAGACAGAGTGGTGAAGAAGGCTACGTTCCCACATCATACATAGATGTAACTCTAGAGAAAAACAGTAAAGGTGCAGTAACTTACATCTAAACTAACCCGGCAGCTTTGTAACATGTATGACATAGGAACTATAACAAAATGAAAACACAGTCAATGGGTGGGAAAACATAAGAAAGCTGAAAGGGCATCCAAGATTTATTGTTCACTGTGTGAGCTGAGTGTAGGCTCGATCTTAGAGATGTGACTATTACAAGAAACTGTTCTCGTGACGCTTTACCATTTGAGTGATGTTCGTGTGAAGCTTAATTGATGCCTTTTGCTTTATGTCCTGCTTAAGTCTGTGTGAAGGATTTGTTTTTTTGCCTTATAAATCATAAAATTTAATCTACTGGGCAGGAATCCATCCTGTAGAGGGGTAGGGATAGAAAGCTCCCTACCCCTCTACACTTTGCTTCAGGAAACACAGTGACTGTAGTGAACTCAAGTAAAACTGCTCTGAAATGCTTGCTATACAAAGCTGATGCCCAAAAGAGTGGTTTGGTCTAGGGTTTTGAAATTGTAGCTACAGTTTCTAGGAAAAATGTAATAATAGTTGGCTAATTGGATAAAATACGAATGTAATCATTTTCATTTTTGTCCTTATTCTCAACTTCGGTTTCCTAAAGGAAGAAAACAGGCACCTAACACATAATCTGTTTTAGTAGTAGGCTAATCAAGAGACGTGCAAAATAAACGGGCCTGGTCTTGCTCTTTAAGTGAATAAAATGGCTTGCTTTTGAGACCCAAGGATATTTTCAGGTTTTCTAATAATTTTCAATAATGTACAAGCTTTCTTCTAAATTAATGCTTGTATTTTTCATCTTTAAATGTCTTTTGAGAAATACCACTTTAGTGATCCTAGCATTTAGCAATTATACATAGGAAAGTGGATTCTAAATAAACTAAGATAGAGGAAGTCTTGCATGGAGGAGAAGTACTAGCAAATTTTACTTGAAAGAAAAATGACTTTTTTCACTAACTGGGTTGGAGGAATATATCTCTACCATCACTGAGGGCATTTCCTCATTTTAGCTGAATCGTCAATTATTAGGAGTTTTTTTTTCCAATTAATTTTAATAAGCATTTGTTGGAAACACTGTATAATCAAGACATGTGCAGTGCTAGTTGTGTAGGGGAGTAAAGTGAGGAAGCAATTAAGAGACTGGTCCTTAATTTTGCTCATGTTCCAACATGTTTTGGTGTTTTTAATAGCTCACTATAAAATGATTTTAGAGACATTTGGGATGGACACTTTAAACTGAACACTCCTTTTGGTCTTACCAAAGGTCTTCAGTAATTGTTCTTTTCTTTTTCCTCCTGGACTGCAGGTTCCTGAAGAGGGTTTCTGAGGAAATGGGCAAGATGTTGAAGGAGGTTACATGCAGCTGCTTTTGGGGGGAGGGTATTAGGGTTGTCAGGCTCAGAGAGAGTGAGAGAAGCAAGTTGCATGAGTGCATGCAGACATGATTATTTTTTTACTAACTTCATTAGCATTTCCGTACATTGTTTAAAAAAATCATTGTAATACCAACCCTTAAACTTGTCAATTACAGTTATTCGCATAAAGGAAAAAAAGCCAACAATGGCTAACCTTTTTTTTTTTCCCATTTATTTTACTGATATCCAAATCAGAAAGAATGCAGAGCTGTCCTTAAGTTTGTCATATCTGACTGTCCCAACAGGACTGTCCATCGCAGCTCTTTTAATTGGCTTTTAGACCCATTGTCTGTTAGAATCCTTGCCATTTTTGACTGTCCCAACAGGACTGTCCATCACAGCTCTGTTTAATTGGCTTTTAGACCCATTGTCTGTTAGAATCCTTGCCATTTGTCAGTGTCTGCCTACGTCACCTCTGTGCTTGCTTAACATCCTGTTGCATGTCTAGAGTGATCGGGTTTAGATTTTTCAGGCATGTCTTTATAATCCCTTGTTCTTGTCAAAGCCTTTGTTTTGTTTTACATTTGTAGTGCAAATCACTTTGTCAAACATCTCCAGCACTAATGTTTCCATCCTAGTATTTGTGTACGCTGCTATAACTTCCCCACTGCAAAACATTCCAGTTTTGGCATTATGAAGAAGCAGTTTGTGAACCTGAAGTATTTATGATCAGAAGAAAAAAACATCTCTGCTCTAGCCTACAGCCCAGTTGAAAGAACTCTTTGAAACATGATACATCTTCAGCACCTGTCTGGGAAGAATCTATAGTCAGCACTGAAATCCTGGCATAATAAACACAGAAGATACTCACCACCTCAAGACAAAGAACTGTTGTCAGAAGTCAGCTGCTTCCATTCAAATGCTGCCTTAAACTAGAGTGCCTAAATCTGCTGATTGCCAACACTACCACTACAGTATCCCACAAAGGGCTTTATGTGTCAGCTCAGTGCGACCTCCATTAGCTCGGCAGTGCTGCTATAGCTGCCGATACAACCATGGTAGGTGGCTTTTAGAGCTCTACCATGTTTGTTGGTGCATCCTCAAATTTACGCATCAAACTAAAGACATGTCTGAGTCCATTTTACTTAGTGTTTTTATGAGAAGTTTTATGGCCCTCCCTCCCATTGTCTTTTAATTTGGGGTTACTGTTTTCTCACTTAATTATTACAATGATAGTCTGTTTCCAAGTGATGATTTCATTTGAACCACATACAATTTAGTGAAACTTTGTAATGATCTATGTGCACTTTTCCTTGTAAAATGGGAGTTTCTGTATGTTTATACTTGTAAATATAATTGTCATCAGTGCCCCTATGCTCATGTTGCTCATGTTGTCCTCCCTCGCATTTGTGATTCTGTTAATGACTTGTATCTTAACTAATTTCTTAGTGGCATTTAATGGGGAGGTAGGTGGGGGTGGGGGGGATATTTGTAACATGGAAGCTTCATTAATTTGGTTCTTTACCGTTTTGAAGGAAGAAAGAATGTGAAATGGTCTGTGTATTGTTGGATTTCAAGCGATATTTTAGAAACTGTGTGACTGCTTTAATAATTTTTCCCAGTGTTATTTGAATCGTACTACCAGTTATACTAAAGCTGAATGACAATTGTGTGAAAGTCGATGCCTTCGTAAGATCAAGTACTCCCGTTACACAGCTGACATGATAGTGTGTTACCTTTAAGGCTAGTAAACTATGAAGTTTTAGATTTTAAATCTCGTTACAGGGTTATTTATATAAAGTGACATTATTCAGTACTGACAGACTACATAAAGTAGTTTTCAGATCCAGTGCTATTTTTATTTTAAAGGTTAGCAATGAAGAGGAAACGTGAGCTGGCTGTGTTTGTCTTCTGTACAAAGCCTGAGGTGCTTGTGCTTTTTGGCAACAGCCACAGAGGGCAAAGTTTAAGGCTTTCTTGTGAGGACTAACTGTTCTTTTCAAGCTACTGTTTGTTTTTCTTACAGCAGGATTTGCTTCCGTAGGAGGCAAGTTCCCTCACGTGGAATAGTGCAACCTGTGTATGGGTTATTACAATAGGAAAGACATTTGTACTTGCACAGTTTAAATCATCCTTAAATTTGAACATGTGAATTGTCCAAAAGAAGTCTTTAATTTTTTCAGTAATTTTTACTCTTTTTGTGCACATTTTGATTTCTTAATGTAAATGCTTTGTTTAAGATAGTGTTCTCTGTTGAGAATATTTTCATGGAATAAAATAATCTTTTCATGGTCAGTTAAGGTGTATAGTATTATCTCTTACTGCTGTGTGAACTAAAGAGATGTAATGGTTTTGTTCTTGAATATGCTAAGTTCCAGGTAATACAAAGTAGATGACCAGGTCCCATAAATGGAAGCATCTGTGTTGGGCAACAATTTTTGCAAAGAAGTTTTGAAAATTTTATTCTAGTTTTAGTTTCTCTCAAGCTTTCTTAAAGGAAAAAAAAGTTAACTTTCTTTACAGTGAATTTAAGTTAAGGTAATAATTTGTATTTTTTAATCTTTGTTCTACAGTAGCTATGTTACACAGACTTTGCTTTTACACCATCTTAGCCTCTGCATCCATAGGAACTTTCCCTATACTACATAGATTGATCTAGCCTCAGGTTGGTCAGCATTTCCCATGCTTCTGCTTGGGTTCCTGATCAGTCAGAGAGAGCACCTGTGTCTTCATCGCATTTCAAAACATGGAAAGAGAGTGTTTGCCACAGTTAGTGTTACGTCAGTGATTTTAGGAAGTCTTAGTTTCAGAAGAATAAGCTTTTTAAAAGAGCAAATCTGAAACTATGACTAGTAACTTCTAGAAACCCTAAAAGGGAATAAAACTCAGGGGTTTTATTCTGAACAATGAAAGGTTGCAACTGTTGAGATGAAAATTTAGAGATCCACGCCAAGCTTGGAAATAGGGACACACAAAACAAAACAGCAGGAAAACGGTGTCAACCAAAAAACTCAACAATGAAAAGGACTTTTACTATCTGAACCAAGATCAGGGAAGTCAGATCCTACTTGGTAGGGAAA